TGATTGGCTTACTAGCGTGTCGAAAAACTGATGATCTTTACTTCCTTTTTTGGTATGAGATTTCGTAAATATTGTTGATTCAAGTTAATTTTAATAATATTGCATCAAAATACGTCTTGCAATAATGGCATTTGTAGTTAAATGTATTTCATATTTTCATAATAATAATTGATTATGTACCTACGTTTCATACAATTTATTTATTATCTTGTGTTTTGTAACATTTTTTGTAAATTAATTTTGCATACTTTTTTACTTTTTAAACCAATTAAGTATTATCAAAATAGTGACTTATAGATCTTTTGTTCTTTGATGTCAAACTAGTACACAAAATCATTGTGTTATTATTATTATTATTGGAACCTGCAGCTAGTAATTTCTTCTAAACCTTTGTTTGATTTCGTTATAGTAATATATCGCTTGGAAGAAAATGATAGAAGATAATAGAAATGATATATTAATATATTACCTATTTTGATTACAATGTATTTGCGTTTGTGTGCTTAAATGCTTTTGATTATTTGCCGCGTTGCGTTTGAAATATCAGAAAGATCTTATGCATAATATAATATTATGTGAGTGTTACGATGTCCTATATAGAGCTTAGAATATCTTTCTCTAAATACGTATTATAATCCAGTAACTTTAGAATTAGATAATTCAATTTAATTATCATATATTATTCATATTATATGAAATGATAAATTATAACGAGTTATAAATCACCCAAATTTTATACCGATAGATTATGATTACAAACTGGTATAATATCACTTATTCACTATAGCCCACGGTGGATGAGTACGTTATTGATCAACCGGTTACCTCGCTTTATTGTTGATCAACATATACAGACAATTATTATTAAACTTAGAATCGTAATATTGTCTTGTTTGGTAGATACCTAAGTTTCTAATTACATTTAACAATGCGAGTTATCCACCATCTCTTAAAATATTGAAAATATTAAATAGCATTTTCAATTTCGTTTTAACGATTTTACTTAATGTCTAGGACAGAGCTAGGAGTTTGGTGTAATAATACAACTCTTGTTTGACGTGTTCGAAAAAAAATAATAACGGGAACCTCACGCATTACTACTACTTTACAGACGAGTCTTCGTGATATTATTTTATCGATCGTATATAGTGTTTCTATAAATTATAATCGAAGCGGTTTACAGGTTCGAAAATATTTATCACAAAAAAATAATGAATAAAAAAAATAAGAAAATGCAAATAAATCTGTTGAAAAAAAATAGAAAAAAAATTTGGGAAAAAATAACAAACGTCCATAGACAGCCGTTCAAATAGAAATCTGTTTTCGTAAGACAATGCGCCAAGAATTATATTTGAATTCTCCGTGCAATTCTAATTACTTACATGTGGTGGCAGAATATGTGTGTATATGTAAATTGCATTCCTATTATGATTGTCGCGTTTTCTCTCATTTCACATGCATCTTTTAACAACGTTACTTGTGTTTTTTACGTTCGTTCTTTTTTTACTGAAAAAAAAGGTAATAATAAAAACAAACCAAAAATATTTTATTATTTATTACATCCAATCACCGCTATTCATATTCAAGTGACGCATTTAGATGCTTTTCGTTGATATAATAATTTATACAAGTCTTCTCTGGCGATGCGTACACCACCGAGCCGAATAATTGTACGCACAAATATTATGGATGTCGATGGGAGGCTATCGCGCGTGTGCAATACTTTAAGTTCGATTTGTGATTAGAATTATAAATAATAATATTCTGACACTATGGTTGTACAATATCATTATCGAAATTCACCTTCTCCTCCTCCTCCTCCTCACACGACGAAAAACCATGACCGAATAAAGTTCTTATATAATTACTATTATATACTCATATGATAATATTTGTACATAATAAGTACGAATGTTGTGATTAACCGCACCCGTGTATTATTAATTTAATATTATTTATATTATAACATAGTTGAAATCAGCGTAATAATAAAATAACTAGGTATACAATTATTCATCGTGATAGGTGTAATGATAATGTACCATATACGACGAAAGTCTGTCGCAAAATAAAAAAAAAAATCAGTGCTAATTTACCTAACTTACTATCTTATACACTGCCATAGATAGTTGTTCACCAAATGTGATTCACCTCATTTCTTCTTAATAATGGGTTAATTCATATTATGGTTTTTTGAATTTTCAATATTATTCTCAGGGACACGATGTATTCAATCATATGGATTATTCTAAACTTACCAATTAAGGAGTACATTCCTGTGGTAATACAATTGCAATATTTTCAAATGAACACCAACACGTTTTAATGTAATAGATAGTAAAATGGATATTTTATTTATTTTATTTTATTTATATAAATTTTAACAACTTTCAAATAATCATTATATAGCTATTATAAGTTTATTATCCTTAGTAAGTAGCAGATACAAAAATTAAGTAAATTAAAAAGTACCCTTTCAAATGTAGATTTAGTCAAATAAAAATGTTCAAAAAACTTATAATGATTTACATGAAAATAAAGGAGGTTTTCGTTTGTTAACAATGGTTGATAAACACTTATTAAATTATATGTAACAAATCTTTATACGTTGTTTTAAATGTAGTCTTAAAGTAGGTATACCTAACAATTTATAAAATAGAAATTAAAAAAATGCATTATAAAAGAAAAAATGGATGCTYTGAACTGGAATCTTAGGGTATAGTAGTATAATATAAGATAAAAGTCTTATATAATAATAATGTTGCATTTTATCATAATTTAAAARACGATACTATATAGTGAACAATTTTGTCTAACTATTTATATTATTATTGTTATTCCCTTAATTTTTTTCTGGATGTCAACCACGAAAAATCAATGTTTAATTATTAACTCTTGGGTCGTTTACGTGAATCGGGTCACTAAATGAAGCGTACACTTCGCGTACAATATGTCCTACCGCGGTGAATCATTATTTGCTGTGCAATGAATTGGAAATTCAGTTATTATTATTTAACTACAATATTCAGAGTTGTGATTAAATTATTGTCTTATTATTTTTTTAAATTTATGTTTTATTCTGTTTTACGGAAATTAATTTTCTTAAACTCTAGTAGTTTGTTTAACAATAATCTTTTAGTTTTAAGCTTTTTATTATTTTTATCGAACAATAATAATGGATTGATGATGATTAGTAGTAAAAAATAGAATAAACTATTGTAAATTGGCTCACACAAAGTATAATAAAAATATGAATTATGCAAATTGAAAAATAAGCACAGGCTCGTTACTCAAAACGTAAAATTAAATTTTCCAGTCATTTTTTTTTATAATTATTAATCTTTTTTTCAACAAGTCCATTTTTTCGGATGCAGTAAATTCAATGTGGACATTTGACAGTGGAACCCAGAGTACATGCTCTGTATTTTGAAAAAAAAAACGAATCAATATAATAATTATAATATATATAGACAAAAAACCTCTAAAAACTTTCTATTTGGACTGTATTGTAGAGAAACCTACAGAAACATCCATAACGGTATCATGTGTAATACTTCAAAGTTTGGTGGCGTCAGTAAAACGCTTATGTACCTATATGACTTGCTCATTATACGCGTTTCAACAACAAAATGCGTGTAAAATGGCTAAGAAAATGTATGTAATTGTTTACTTACCGCTTAAATTATTTAGAAATCATGTGAATTCAACATAATACATTATGATCTCGGGCGCACATCATTGTTGGATGCTATTTAAGACGATACGTTATATATGTGGTTGTTCAAATGAGATTATAGGTCGATTGCTTATTCAGTCACGACTTGTACAAGAAATAAAAAACCCTAAAGCTAATTTAAAATATTTTTATGGACAGAAGATTACTCGAAAATAATAAGGTATAATATTACAGTATATTACTATGGTTTCAAACAATCGCGAAATTATATTATATATATTTTTTATTTTTTTTTATCTCGTTAACTATATTTACGTATTGACGTAACTTGTGCAAAAATTGTAAATATTAATTAAGCCAATACCATAAACCGCACTAATACAATTTTGGTATTTTTATAAATAGGTTAAACAATTATCGGTATTCCATCATAAAACATCTCCGCTTTCGTAACCAGAAAAGATGTGCTCGGTATTAACTCACACTGACATTAGTTTTTATAAAAAAATAATAGTTTTCACCATTATGGGAAGACGCCACATGGATGTTTTAATTGTTTAGTGAGTTCCCAGCATATTATTATACATGCGTACATAATACTAACATATTATTATGTATTCTTTTTTTTCAATATTTACTTTTATTAGAAACGATTTCATCGTTTACGCAAACTTACTGTTTTCACAATGATTCAAATTTCAGTTTCACTCGTAATTGTGTATAATATACTATTATAATGCCTAAATAATGTGTTTATAGCTATTTAGATACCACACACTCACTTTGCAGTCGACGTATCACGGGAAATAATTTTTGTCTGCTCAATGAAATAGTAAAACTATACCGTTAACGAAATTACCATTGAAAGTTTGAATCTACTGCAACCATACTTGCATTTATACACGTTATATTATATGTTTTTTTCGTATTAGAATGCATCTTACACGAATGGGGAAAGTTTGAATGAATCGTACAACACATCATTACTAAGCACTTCACTTGATTATAGTCAGTATAATCGGTATGCTGTTCTTCATTTGTCAAAACAATGTATTTCTAATGTTGTGTGTCATTGTCAGTGGTAAATCTTAACATCGCTGTTTATTTTTTTTAACCAGAATTATTGCTTAATGACCAAAAAGGAAAGTCATTTAAACTCAATTGCTGTATATCCCATTTGATTATATTTAGTTATTATATTTTAAAATTGTATTAATGTGTTAAAAATGTATTAATTTATAAAAATATATTACAAAAAAAAAAAAAAAAAATATAAATAGTGTTTTCACAGCTTTAAACTAATACTTTAACGTACCTGTTTCAGAAGTGTTTTGTGTGTCTATTGCTGATAGTCACTGCGGATGCCGTGATAAATTCTGGCACAAGTGATGATAAGTCACCAACAAGAAGAGATGCAAGTCTTGGTGTGCCATCAGATTCTTACGGTGCACCACCTGCATCGTTTGGTGCTATTCAGATTAACTATGGACCACCACAGCCTTATATTATAGCTAATTTAAAAGCACCTGATGTCAATTATGGACTTTCATCGAACTCTTACGGTCCACAAAAACCAATATATGGACTTCCAAAACCCAGTTATAAACCCTTAAAGCCAGACTATGGACCACCTCCACAAGATTCATATGGGTTGCCACCAAAACCAGAATATGGCGCTCCTCAAATACCAAACTCCGTGTACGGCCCACCATCTGGACCGCCTAGTCCTTCTTATGGTGTTCCATCAGTGTCTTATGCAAAGGGGCCTCCAGGTGTACCATCCCCGCCAACCCCACCTCATATATCTTACCACGGCTGGCAACCAATTCCGGGTGTATCAATCCCATATATTCAGAAAAATAACGGTTACGAACAGTCATCCTTAGGAACTGCTTATGGACCACCACGGTCTCAAGCAGGAGGTTGTTGTAATAATAATATTAATTCTATAGACACTTCTTACGGAGGATCGCCACCACCAGTATTACCGTCGACAGACTACGGTCCACCAAAAGATGGAAATTCTCATCATGGAAGCACTCACGCTCAGTCATTGACCAATTTATATAAACCACCACCAATTATACCAGATACAAGTTATGGGCCTCCCACACCTTCTAAACAACCATCTGACTCATATGGTCCACCTAAACCTGACTACAGTTCTCCACCACCTAATGATTCATATGGCCCTCCACCCAGTGGATCTTACGAACCTCCTCCAAAAGATTCATATAGTTCACCACCAAGTGGATTATATGGGCCACCTACAAAAGATTCTTATGGACCACCACCAAGTGGATCATATGGACCCCCTCCAAAAGATTCATATGGACCACCRCCAAGTGGTTCCTATGGCTCTCCTCCAAAAGATTCATATGGACCACCACCAAGTGGTTCATATGGCTCTCCACCTAAAGAATCACATGGGCCACCACCAAGTGGATCATATGGACCACCTCCAAAAGATTCATATGGACCACCACCAAGTGGTTCCTATGGACCCCCTCCAAAAGATTCGTATGGACCACCATCCAGTGGTTCATATGGCCTTCCACCTAAAGAATCACATGGTCCACCACCAAGTGGATCATACGGGAAACCTCCAACTGGATCATATGGACCACCTCCAAAAAATTCTTATGGGCCACCACCAAGTGGTTCATATGGCTCAACACCAAGTGGATCATATGGGCCTCCACCAAGTGGATCATATGGACCACCTCCAAAAAGTTCATACGGCCCACCTTCAAGTGGATCTTATGGATCACCACATAAAACGTCATACCAACCACCAACAAAAGAATCACATAGGCCACCATCAAGTGGCTCATACGGGCCACCTCCAACTGGATCATATGGACCCCCTCCAAAAGATTCATATGGACCTCCACCAAGTGGATCTTATGGGCCACCTCCAAAAGAATCTTACGGACCACCACCAAGTGGTTCTTATGGTGCACCTTCTAAAGAATCCCATAGACCGATACAAAGTGGATCATTTGGTCCACCAAAAGAATCTTATGGGCTACCATCTTTTGGGCCACCTAAGGATTCTTATGGGCCACCAAAAGAATCATATGGCTTACCATCAGTTGGATCATTTGGGCCACCTAAGGAGTCTTATGGATCATCATCTAAACCCTTATATCATCCACCACCACCAAAAGATTTTTATGGGCCACCAAAAGAATCATATGGCTTACCATCAGTTGGATCATTTGGGCCACCTAAGGAGTCTTATGGATCATCATCTAAACCCTTATATCATCCACCACCACCAAAAGATTTTTATGGGCCACCAAAAGAATCATATGGTGTTCCATCTAAAGATTCTTATGGTATTCCTCCCGTTAAGGACACATATGGAATTCCTGCTCTAGGATTTATTGATAATTCATTGCAAATACAGTATGACTCGCCATCAGCGTCTTCATACAATGGTCTTCCTCCGGAAGGTACTTTCGGTACACCAATAGCTATCTGTTGTGGCACACCCCCACCAGACTTACCGTCACAAAAGCCTACAGACTCTCAGTATGGGTTAACATATGGACAAGCATCTGGAAGACAAATACCTGGACCAAATCTTCAACCAAAAAATCCAGTAAAAAATAGGGCACCAGTTCCACCGGGCCTTGTAGAATCAACGCAGTATAATAGTTTCCAAGGTGAACCATACATACCTCCTCCAGTATCAGAAGTATCAACAACTGGAAATGATGCATATGCTGCTCCATCAAGTTCTACGGGTTACAGCAGCTCTAACAGTAACCCAAATTTAGAGCAAAGTCCAATAGTTCCTCAAGAGCAACAACAGTATAACATACAAGCTACACAAGATACATCAAATAATGGAGTATACAATCAAGGAATATCTTCATCATACGCTATACCAGCTCCTGAATCTTATCAGCATATAACTCAAACAGTTTCAGTAAATAATGGTGCTCAGAAACCTAACAGTTATGTTCAGCCTGACCAACTTTTAACAACAAATGGTGATAACTATGGAACTCCACAGCAATCATTTGACTTAAACCAACAAATTGAAGAAAGCAAAAATAACCCACAACTTAGAGATACAGAGAATAATTCACACCAACGAGAAAATAATAATTATCAACAACAACCAGATGGAGTGGATGTTAATGATATAGTGAAGTCATTAGGTTTAGAAGGCTCATCCGTTGTTGGTTCAAAATCTGTTGACATAAATGGTTTACAAGAATATCCTGTTCAAGGGTCTACTGGAAATTATATGCTCCAAATCCAACCAGGTCAAAGAGGTGGTGAGAACGTCGCTCATGATCAAGTACTTTCTAATGGGTTACTTCAASACATTTTGTCAGCTATAGAGAATCAACAAAAATCAGATAACTCATACGATAACCAACCACAAGGATCGGAAGTCAGACAAGTTGCGACGGCAGCGGCCAACACAAGTACTGAGTGGCCAGACAATTCTGATAGTAAAAAACAAGAAATGGCTCTGTTCTATAGTACAAGAGATGGAAAAGGACAATCTACGCAAGGCACAGAATCTCTACTCAATCAAATAAACCATTTGAGCGTAAATGAGGTGTCGAATGGAAACTTCGTTTCTTACAAGTCGCCAAAAGTGAATTATGTGTACAGTGAAACAACACCTCAAGCTGTGTCACAGGCATATCCACAACAATCGACTCCTAAGACTGATGAAAGCTCAACAAACTCGTTGTCGAGTACAGGAAAATAATTATTGTAGTAAAATAGATACATAAATATATAATAAATTATTAGGTATATATATAATAGTTTAAATATAATCCTACTATTATATTTGACAGTTTCAACTCCCCAACCTTTGGTTGCATTCAAATTGACAACGGTAATAACGTGTAAGAAAGTGCTCGTATTCATTTGAATCGCCACTTCAACGGAATACCGTATCTCCCAAAAGTATTGTACTTSTATCAGTATGAGGCATTCACGTACAAAAACGTTCTATAATAATTGTACAAATACTTTATTATCTTGACAGGGTAATCGCTCTATTATGATTTTATATTGACGACGTAGTTACCAAGCACAGGTTTATTCACGACTAGCTTATCACGAACTCGAAATGAAAACATCGTGCCTTATTTTGTTTTAAATCGTGAACGACGAATATTTTAATCTAAAAAGTGAGAGCAAGTTTATGAGTATAAGATACGACAGATATAAATGTGAATTGTAACACAATAAAAATAGTACAGAAAGCCATTTTGGGTATGAAAAATACTTTCGAGATTAATTGAATGCAACTGGATGTGTATTTGATAATAAATTAAATTAAATCATCACTTTGATTAGGTATCAAAAATATTGKTGAGTTAAGTTATTAATTAATGTAAAATATTTAATTTAATATATATATAATTATTAGTATGTTATATAATAGCGTTTAGCACGATTGCCACTATATGAAGTGCCATAGAACTTTTATTATTATTTTTTTTTTTTTTATAATAATATTCTTAAAATGTAAAAATTAAATATATTTTTTTTTTAAATCATTTGGTAACTAATAATATTTTTATTCGTGTATATCACTTGTAATATTCAAAATAATTTACCTTTTTATAATATGCTTTTACATACAAACAATATATTTAAATTAAAAATTAAAAATTGTATTCTATAATTTATGTATTTTTAAATAAGTTCATACTTATGTAATACTTATGTATTTGCATTGAAGTTTATGTTAATATTGCCAGCGTCTAATTTTAATTGAAATATTGTATATAAAATTATGTATGAAAATGTTAACTATTAAATAACAATATATTTTGTGCTATTTATATCTATTTCGTATCTATTTTCAGTATTGAATTAAAGTTACTTGTATATCCAGTTAAGTATGCAAACACTAAATGAACGTACAAAAAAAAAAAACACACTCAAAACTGAATAATGTAACTTAAGGAATTTAATCACAATTATTAACTCATGATACAAAAAAATACTGATCGATAGTATTTTATTTATAAATGACACTGCACAGGTGCATACAATGAAATTTCTTTAATTGGATACCTAGTGCAATCATAGATTAATATATAAAATGTTAATTAATATTGATATGTCAAATCGATATGTTATAATTTATTTATCACTGAAATACTGAATAAAAATGTTTCAACTAATAACACATTACCATAATGTATCTTCTAGAACCATTTAAATAGTTTTAACAGCATCATTTAATATTAATTTTTTTTACTAACCACATTTTTTCAATTTAACGACACCAAAAACAGAGATTTTGGTCTTTTATATAATAATCATACTAAAATGAATTTTCAAAAAATATTTTAGATTGTATTTTACATCAATACTTTAAACCACAAAAAAATCAATAGAACATTAAATATAAAGATTTGCGATGCATATATTTCGAATACTCAGAAGTACATAGGTAAACTTTAATAAAATCTTTATGTATATTTATGCATTATTTATCTTCAAATAATAATATAATATAAATAATTTACGTAAGATAATCGAAAATATTTAATAGATTGTTATTATATTATTAGAAATATGCAAATACTTTAGAATGTTTAATAGTTACCATAATTTTCCTTTTTCGGAATAGCCCTCGGGTACTAAATATCACAGAGAATTTTTTGTCCTCGACTATTAATATTCGAGAATATAATATGACTGTAGGGAGTAAAAGTAACTGAGAGTTATTATTCCCAGTTACAAATTGCCTTACCTAATGCTCCCTTTAGTATAAATTATTTATGCTAATTGTACTCTAGGGATTGAAGGTGAACATTTACTTAAGTATTATTGATTTGTTATATTTTGATGTTTTACAACATATCAAAAAAAAAAAATCAGATTAAGGGTAAGAAATGTTAATTATTTTGGAACGTGTAATTTTATAAGCTATACCTATTTTGTCATATTCAATTACCTTTAAATGTCAATTTTAAGTTGATGTTTTATGTAAAATTTATATTTACCGTTAGATATGGTGATTTTTTTCAAGATTCAATTAAAGTTTGTTCCATAAAATAAAAATCGAAATTGTTAGTATTGTACTCCATTTTAATAAAACTATGTTTACTGTAGAAATTACTTTTTATTAGTAGGTACAATAGGTACATATAATATTTTATTTTCATAAAAAAAATATTAGTTATTCTCAAGGAAATAAAACATTTGCTAATATTTTATTCTATATTACAAAATTATTTTTACCAACTTTGTACAATTTTAGATTGTTGAATATAATTATATAATAAACTGTTGTATGATTATTTAGGTTCCATAAATTATACATCAGGCTAGATTACACAGGCATAACATTGAAAAACACTGTCAATATTTTATAGTTATATACTTATATTACCAAATTATATGAAGTAAATATTTCAATGAATAAAGATTTCTTTTTATCCTTTTAAACACCGGTTTAATGAAGAAATTAATATTATTTATTAATGAATGAATTAAAATTGATTAATCTCTACATCATATCACCTTTCACGTGCATAGATTGAATACTTTAATTTATTGTGTAGGTGATAATATTATACTATAGTGTTGTTACCAATAAGTCATATTTATGAGGCTAAAATAAAAATAACTTTTGACTTAAATGTTAAATACACCCAAAATTATTGTTCACCATAATTGTTGATAATTTTCCATATTAAAAACAATCAATAAACATTCTTTATTTATTCTTGTTTACAAGCGTTTACATAATATTTATATTATATATTATGTACAATGTACAATGTATATAATAGATATTATATAACTATACGAGTCTAAATCGTATCTCTTAAAATATACCTAATTATATAAAGCTTAATTTTAATTTATATTAATTAATAGTTTACATATTATGTTAAAGTATGATTTTATTATATTKTAACATTACACGTATAATTATTTAATATTGAATAATTGAATTGGCATCGTAAATTAAATTTTACTTTAATTTATATTATTCGAAATCAACATAATATTCAAAATACCTATTACCTATGCATTTTCGTGTATTCAACATCCATATATTTATGTTAAGCATACACAATATTAATTATATCTATTGAGTGACTATATTTTTAGAATCTTAAAATAAACTTATGTAAGAGATGTTTTGAATGAAAAGTGCTAATAAGTAAGTATTTAGTTTAAATATTTTCAGAATAAATAATAATATCAGCAACGGCGAAAAGTCCAGTATACTTTGTAATTAATTAAAAAGTAATTGTGTATAAATCAATTATTTATTCAAGATCTTCAAATGAGTATTGAGTAAGGTAAAAATTTTATTTTTATGTAATTTAATACTTTGCCTGTTTATATATTATTATCGAAATAAAATTAAAATATTGCTTAAACAAATACGGTGAGAGTATATTTTAATTAAAAATATTTTAAATTAAATGCGTTTAATCAAGTCATGTTTTTGTATTTAGAATTTTTATGTAGGATTTTTTTATGTTAAAGGGTCAATATTGGTATTTTAATCATGAATTATTTTGGTACGTCATATAGTATGTTTCATTGTGAAAGAGTTTTTTGAAATTGGTGTAATAAAACAGTTAGTGATCAAAAAATATTCTCTATAAAACCGAAAATAAGAAGACATTTTCATCGTTATTAATCAATATATTTGCTTAAACAATATTATGCACTTTATATTCATGTGTTTGTATGAAAAACCGTAATGGGGAATTAGTATTTTTTTTAGAAGTAACATTTTATAATATCACAACGTAGTTAATTAATATAACGTGTTGAATTAACCTTTTGGTGGAGTGTTCTGCCATAATTACTACCTATGTACTATGTGAATATTTGCAAAGACATTTTTTACACTATACCTATGCATGTAAATTACGCGGGATGTGGGAACTGAGAATAAATTACATTGTTCACCAATAATTATTATACGCGCATTAAAGTATATTTTGTTTTATAACAATGCCGATTTTCTCGTCTAATGAAAATCAAAAAGTGAGAAGTCCATTTCAACGATATATTTATTGGGATAAGTTTAAGTGAGTGTAACTGAATTATTGGTTAGGTGTGAGATTAAGATATGTATTATTGTAGTGACTTCTGTTTTTAATAATGCTAAGTGGCTATTAAACATTTATTTATGTAATAAGGCGCAAGTTGTTGACGTAATAAGAACGTCCACTCATGAACATGACATTGTTTATAAAAATTTGGGACAATTGGATGAATTCAAATATTGTATTTATCAATGCCCTTAGACTACGTTTACGTGGAGCTTAAGTGGTGGATCACGCGTTATTTTATAAGTTAAAAAAAATAATTTCATAAGGAATTGAACCAGGAAGAGCACAAAACTGCAACTGTAGGTACGAAGCAATTAATGTACACTCGAGACATGTTAGAAATGAAAATAATATTTATTTTAATAATCTGTAGATACCTGCGGTATTTTTTTGTTTTTATGTTATCGAACTACAGGGGTTAATTGTTTATTTTTGCGTCATACAACTTGCCTTTGCTGTTAATTGTGTATTGAATTAAAACAAAAATACATTATTTACATCAAGTTAATCAACAATTATAATAAACATATTAAAATATTATTTTGTTTTTCAACATAATCTTTATTTTTACAATTTTTTTAATATAATATATTTATAATATTATATACCTACATAGGATACCTATATCCTACTCTACTAAAATTTGCTTTCATCTACATTTTAGATACTTAGCTTATGTTAGTTTTAATTCTAGGTTCCGGCTTGAATACCTGCTGTCCTGCTCCTACTGCAACGTATATTTTTGGATGTATTTTATACCATCACAATGTGATACAATTCTTGAGTTTTAAAAATGTTTACTTTGTTAAAGTTACTTAAGTGTGTGTTCTGACGTTGGACGATACTAAAAGTTAATTCCAAAAAACAACTGACCTTATTGTTATATAAATTGCCTATTTAAAACCCCTTTAAAACCGTTAGTTTGAAGATAATAACAATAATATTATTATCCTTTTGAATATTATTTATAGCGGTTGACTTTAACGCGAGAACTATACTCGTAAAATGTATCGAACAACATCATGATGAATATCAGTTAGATTTGAATGTGATACTATGATAAAATACGTTCGATGAACAAGTCGAGATGTATACTATTATAATATCAACTGATTAAAAAAATAAAAATAAACCCAGGTCCAGGTCCGTGGTAAAATATTCTGTAGTAATAACTGGTATGCATCCACTGATATCGATTTATATACTACGTAATATCATCGTAACGACTTAATTATTGCGTTAATTCGAGTTCGCTAACCAGCGATTGTGCAGTTGTTTCAGCTTCGTCATTATACGCACATAACGCTTATCAACAATTTCGTAATATTATTATGCTGGGTGTATGCAAGATTC